AATAGAATAGTGTTAAATTTCTCTCCCTGTTCGGATCCCAAGTAAGAACTGAAGACGCATACTCAGGATCAATTGAAGGCGATTAAGTAATACAGGTAGGAAGCAATAACCTTACCTGTTGCAGCATTAGAAATCCAATCTGTAACTTTATAATGCAAAAAGTGAACTTAGAGCGAAAACTAATCTAGACAAAGTAAATAACTGCCAGAAAACAACGGATCTGACTGGTTTCAGTTTACCGGACAGACTTCAGAATGGGTATATAACTCTCACAGATTGTCTAGCCTTTCTGCACATTGGAAATGGTAAATAAATAATTTTTAATGGAGTTTTCTTAGTTGGCTACTCACCTCTGTGGGCCTAAATGTCGTAGCCACCTCTTTTGCTTGCATTGGGGCCAGTGTGATCGTTTTTGCTCCATGTTCAACAAAATGTGCCAGATGAGTTGACATATCTTGGGTTTCCTCCACCTCCTTTATCGAAAAGTCGCCATATTTGTTGAGATCGAAGGTTACTTGCATTTTTACCGACGCCGTATTCTTTAGCATCATATTTAATTCCGAATGGGAACCCAAAAATACACCTAAAATAAAGACATATAAAGTATTCAGTCGCGGCAGGATTTAATTGGAGGCTGCAACTGCTCAGGAACTAGTTCAGATGTCGTCCTTTAAGCATTACTGTTCGTGCCGTTATATGCTCACATCTACAGGGTAGAAGCGCCGATACTTGGGAAACTTGAATACATTGGGAAGTGTACATTCATCTTTGTTTATAATTGGTCCACCATTATGCGAATAAACGCTAGAGTACTAGAGGGCGTTTTATGACTTGACAGAATATTGGATGAATAAAGATTACTTCCCGCTGGGATTAGAGTCTTTCAATAGAGCCCAAAAGAGCTTGATTTCGCAGCTTAACTAGAAGAAAGTTTTGGCTACTGCGCAACCGAATTCAGATCTGAATCGCCCAGCCTAGAGATGGGGTGTGGTTGGCTGTGGAGCGAAGCCCATCCGGAATCAACCGTCAACTCATTTTTCGGTACCATCTGGAGTTGGGTATCATTGTCTGATTACAGCCAATGATCCAGAAATGAACATTCCAACCTCCCCTGCCTTTCTCGGTAATGTCATTTTACCTATATCATTAGCTGATATACAGCTGCTAGCGGGGCTCGGAATTGATCCCAAGGGTGAGTGCTTATCTGCCACTGTAAAAGACTTAGGATACGCGTGCTTTAGTTTTCGGCAAGTAACAGTCTGAATTGTCGTAAAATGATGTACTCTTCTAAGCTGATATTGCAAAATGAGAATTTTGGTGGTGAATAGTAACTAGCTGAAGGCTCGAATGTTGGGACGGTAGCCTGACCAAAGGTTGACAACCTTGTCGGCTCTCCTAAGGCGTCGTGTCTGCCGCCGACCG